AATAATATAAAACGAGTTTCAATAAGGCTAGCTCTCGTTCAAACCAGATTGTTTAAATAGATAATTTTTTTATCTGGTTACATCATGTAACCAGCTGTCTTCCAGTCTATTTTGTCGATGTAACCAGAATCATGCAATCCAGATGCTGCAACACACAGAAATGAGTTTATGAATAAGATGGTCAATTAGGATAATAAACGGAGTTTCAATAGCTAGCCTCGTTCAAACCAGATCGTTAAATAGATAATTTTTATCTGTGTTTAAATTTCATTGGTATCCAGTTTGTTCTTCCAGTCCTGTTTTTCGATGTAACCAGATGCTATTATGCAACCTTTTAGGTTAATTGTGTTTAATGAAGATGTCAATAATTACCTTTTTTATTTCTTTGTCTTGGTGTTCCAGACTCATCTTTTATAAATTATTAAGACGCATGGTTAGTGCGTTCTCCCTCTGGTGTTCGTTTATTTAACAGACTAGGCCTGGGAAACAAGACTGTCGGATAAATAACAAAGATACTCAGTAGTCGGAGGAGTTTTGGGAAATCTTAAAGCCAATGTATTTTATATAGTTCTGTAAAGTTGACATTATTAATACAGTGATAACAGACTTTTCTGCCTCAAGATTCCAATCAAATCAGGTGTAAAACGCCTTGGCAGCAAAAAGCATATGCGAAGCATGAAATTAAAGTTAGCACAATGCAGTTACTAAATGTTAATCATTGTTAAATTTAGCATACAACTTAAAATAAGACTTTTGTAATTTTCCACATAAATTAAGTGTACTTTCAGTCTACTTCCTCACTGTGAAGGCAGCGCGCTTGGACACCGCGGCGGTTAGAATCATCACGTTGGAAGTTCGCCACAGCAAATATGGCCAATATGACAAGCGAAGCCCCGTATGCCGGGGAAAATATTAGCCATAACTGATTTACTTGTGTTTGTTGTTGTTTGTTCTCGGCGCCTTGCGGTGTTTCTTATTTACTGCATTTCACTACAAGGCCTAATTTCTTTGCAATGAGAGGCACTGCCTGAAATATCAGAGACTTTCCAAAGTCAGTTGGCAATATGGCGAAGGTGTCTCTTCTCTCTACAAACAAGGCTTTCAATGTTGTTCTGTGTTAAGTTCCACAACATGCGGAAAATATTCTTTGAGTACAGTTTTAACAGCATCTTCAAACTAAATCGTTACAGTCGCTAGCATTTATTTATGTTGTGTTCTGTTCAATGTTTTACACCAGAGCTAAGTTTATTGTTTCGCTGTGACCTTTGAACGTACAGAAATCTGTACACTCGCTCCTGATTGGTTAATATAAGCACACCAGAACGAGAATGGGGCGCACTAGACCAGACTCTCTATTTTATTTCATATATAGTGAGTCTGGTACCCAGGGTAGTCAATAATATGAAACGAGTTCAATAAGGCTAGCTCTCGTTCAAACCAGATCGTTTAAATAGATAATTTTTTTATCTGGTTACATCATGTAACCAGTTGTCTTCCAGCTTGTGTTGTAGCTGTAACCAGATGCATGCGACCAGTACTGAAAGCGGGTAATCTAAATGTTTGACCAATTGATTTTTTAAGACTTTTTCATATAACTTTGAAAAAGTATTGAGAACACTTACTGGGCACACTTACTGGGCAAACTGCCGCTTTTTGCATCGTTTGAGAAAACGAAAATTTCGAATGCTACAGTTTATTGGACATTAAAAATGAAAGTGAAAATAGGCCTGTAAAGGGAGGGGGTTGCTTTCTCCATGTATACTTTTGGTTATAGTTCTTTTGTGACATAAGCAATTGATAATCTGCATTTACATATGAACAGCTACATTAAAACATATGAAAGATGAGGAATTACTTACCAACACGACGACACACCTCTTGCAATTTATTTTCGGTCTCCAGAGATATCCCGAGAATTTCAGACATCAGCTCCTCGGCCACCGGAATCCGCTGGATTTCGACCAAATTGGCCAAAATCCTTTGAAAAACTAGGACCGTTTCTGCAATATCTTCCATTTTCAATATATTTGGATACCAAGCAATATCGACGAATCGACGGGTCGAAGAGAAGCTGCTCGAAGTCAACTCCACGTGCGACTAACAGTTCGTTCGATGGTTGACAGTTATGACGTGATTCGAATAAGAACAAACGAAAACATCAAAACACGAAACAATACTTTGAGGAAGTAGCTCTTACCGTGAATTCTTAATTGCTTGAGATCCTCACCTGTGAAAAAGATACCTTCTCCGAATAACCCTTCCCTCGAAATGAACCCCCTCTTGCCAGATAGGTACCCACCTCCTTAGCCGTATTGTTCTCAGGACAAAGAAAAATTTGCGCGCTAAAAATTATTTTTTAAACGCTGAATTTAAAACAGAGAAGGGGTGATAGTGTAGAAAACAGTATTTGTAGCAAAACATCATAATTTCCTTTTATTGAATCAGCATATTTTTCCTGCAGGATCAAACAATTGTCACTCGTCGAAGAACGACATGGATTCAAATTTTCATGGCAAGTTGTTTCCTTATCGTTGATTATTTACAATAGAAAGGATGTTTTCTCACAGATTGATGGTCGAAACATATACTTTTGCAACAAGATTTTTTCAACACGATTGCATTTTGTAATCAGTTTTCTTGTAATCAGTTTTCTTGCAACCAGTTTCCTTTTTATACATGTAACCAGAATATTTTTATTTAGAACCTACCAAAATTCTGGACAGAGATCTGTTTGAAATTGATGGAAATCAATACGTGGCACTGGCGGACGTTAAAACAGATTTCCAGCACATGACTGGATCAGCCTTCAAAACCATGCTCCACCGAATGGGTATAAGGGCTAGATTAGCCCAAGGGACGATATGTGCAAAGCTGCAGTCACGTTTTGGAAAACAGAAAGGGGGACACTGGCTGATAGATATGGGAGATTTTCAAAAACTTAACAGCAAACACAAACAGCAAATCTTCAAACAGCTCCAAAGCACCACAACGATTGAAGCAAACGATAAAATTTCAACGAATGAAATGTGCGGGGAGGCCACAAACTCCATGACTGATGTGGAAGATGTTAGAATGGAAGACTACAGCGTTAATTACCGAGATCCACACAATAGTACACATGAAGCTGTTAATAATGAGTTTCCGAAAATTGCTGAATTCTACAGCAAGGTAATCAATCCAGAACGGCCACTGGAAAAATTGCAGAGGCAACAGTGAAAAAGATCATTGGTAAAGCAAAAGAATACTTTATTTTTGTTGCAGAGACAGAAACACGGAGTCCAAACATTGAAGATTGCCTCAACACGAAAAAAGTGGATGCTTTCGTGCAAACGCGATTGGCCAAACCCTTAAGCTACGGCACGGTGGCAGGCTATGTACAATCGATTTTATATATTGCCAAATATGTGAAGAGAAATAGCGGAAACCTTATGGAAATAAAAGAGATTGTGCAGCTGAAAAGAATACAGTCTCAGCTGCAGGTAAGCATTTAATTTGAAGTCATCTACTTCAGAGTTTATATCTACGTTTCAAGTGAACTAAGAACGGCCAAAGTGACCAAGATTGCCAAATTATCGTCGTCCAATAGCGAATTTGATATAAAATATGCTTTGAAAAGATTACAGCGTTGGTTGTGCTGTCGGTTACTTCTACGCTTTACGCACTTTGTATGCATTTTCCTTCTTGATGGTGTTGTTTTCTTTTGCTGATTGCATTCACTTTTCTTTTAACAGAGAGAGTACGAAAAGGAGAGAAGGAGAAAAAATACAAATACGGACAGAAAAAAAAAACTATTACTGGGGACAAGCAATGGAACTATTAAAGAAAATGAAATATGAATTGGAAACATTTTGTGGCACGAGAATAGATAAGGCAAGATTGTATCATGATTTCTTAATTCTTTTAATGTTTGCCACTGTTAATCCGGCAAGAAACACTGACATGATAAGACTTAAAATAGTGCAAGAGAAGGATGAAGAGCGAGATAGAAATAACAACTATCTTATATTCAAAGAAGATGGCACAGTGGAATTGGAAATAAACATTTTTAAAACCTCTTCGACTTATGGGTGCAATCGGATCTCGGTTTCGAGCGTCGATTATTTAGAGCGCTATTTGCGAACATTTATAGATAAAGAAAGGAGGATACTCCTTAAAGATAAGAAACACGACTTTCTTTTCATGCGTAAAAGTGGAGAGCCATTTGAAAGTTCCGAATCATTTACAGTTTATCTCTCCAAGTCATTCTCACAACATTCGGATGATCAATTGCATGTAACTACAGGAACCCTTCGTAAAAGTTTAGTTAACTGGGTTCTGTCTGAGGAAAAGGACAAAAACATAGAAGCAGCTATCGCAAGACTTATGTCACACAGTCAGAGAACTCAGAGACTACCATGGAAACCGAGAACAAAATTAAAAAGGGTGTAAGACACTTGGCAGATAATACAGCTAACTGTTTAGGGATTCGTCGAAAATTGTCCTGTTGGAACTACCCCATTAGAGATCAAATTGTTGCTCTAATTACAAATGATTCGACTTTGGCTGTTCCAAACATTTTAGTAGGTAAGGTAATCGATGTGAACTACGACGAGAAAACTGTATTAATGGCCGAGATGGAAGAGACTGACGAAAGCTACACGTATAAAATGAAAATTGGCATCACCTTCAAAGAAAGTATAGAGGCTGTAGTTCACCCCATTGATTGTGTATATGATGCGGACAGTAACACTTATCATCTCCGAACACGTAAGCATGAAATATACGAGGCAGTCATGGAAGGGATGCGACAACAAATGGATGAAAGTTCATCGGAATCAGACAATGACTTTATTTAAATTTTGTTACATCATAACACATTATACTATTATTTGCGAACATTTGTGACACCTTCATAGATTAATTAGAGGTTGTAGTTCTCTCCATTGATTGTGTTACGATTTATTCCTTTTGAAGTATCAACGCTATAAAGATATTTTTTTCATGTAGCTACATAACAAAAAGTTTTCTTTAAGTTTTCAAAGTAGAAAAAGTGTCTACCAAAGAACAACTTTTCATTTTTGTTTCTTTACGTGTCTTCTAAATACATGCATTGATATATACAGGCCCCTTAAATTATGTGTTTTAAAGCCCTTCAAAACCAATTGCTAGCGCTAATTTAAGTTTAAAATGATGTATGAAAGTTATTTCACATTGATACTAACTCCCTGAAGGCCCCTAGGTTAGGGGTATTTCCCAATACCAAAGTTAAAGATACCCACAATCAAAAGCAGAACAGAACATTTAATGAATTGAAGTGAATTGAATTGGTCATAACCCACCTAGGGAATGACCAAACTTTAGATGCAATTTACACCAAAACCATATAGAATTTCCAAGACCTCTGGTACTATGCTAGAGATGAAGTATATTTACCCATTGTATCAAAAGCTGGTAATCTTAAAAGCTAATTTACTATTTTTCCATATTTTTCGAACATTCCTTACTTCACTACTATAGAGGGGTTTTAGCGGCGCGTCCTGGTGAAACAATAGGGCCTCGGTTAAATGTATTAAGGAAGGGGTGATACTTTTCAAAATAAGTGAAAAAATCATTAAATGTTTCTGGTGTAGAAAATTACGCTGAGTTGATTGACACTCTAGATAAAGGGTCTTAAATGCACCGTTTTCGAAATAATTGGGGTTGAAGTGGGGCAAAACAATAGGGAAAACAATAGGCCAAACTAAGGAAAAATGACCACTAGCATCAAATAGAGGCTGCACCATGCTCAATATAAACAAAATGGCGCTTCAATTCCGCGCGCTAAGTTGCTTCGGAGAGTGTAAAATGGATACGAATGATACTACTCAGATTACTTTGGTTTAGGTGAGACTCCTTTTAAGCTACATCTTGACATGATTTAAAAGGGTTCATCATTTTGTCTCGAATTGATTTCACCATTTGACATTTCTAACAGTCTTTATGTTGGGCCTAGGCATTTATGTTGAGTTGCTTACATTGCCATGGTACAAGCTTTGAGATCTTATCATACTGGGACTTTTAACAAATATTACCTCTCTGTAACACAAATATGTTACAGTTTGCCCCCGAAACAGTAAATAGTCTAGCGATTTGCTTTGTTGTGATTATCTTCTATGGTTTAGTTGATTTGGTGATATTTTAACATTCAGTTGTGTTATGGCACGAAAATAAGGGAATTGTGTGGATAAGGTTCTCTGTGCACCAGGACGGGGTGCAAGGTTCTATAGAATAGGATAATGGACTCTCTGTAACAGTTTGCCCCTGAAACAGTAAATAGTCTAGCGATTTGCTTTGTTGTGATTATCTTCTATGGTTTAGTTGATTTGGTGATATTTTAACATTCAGTTGTGTTATGGCACGAAAATAAGGAACTTGTGTGGATAAGGTTCTCTGTGCACCAGGACGGGGTGCAAGGTTCTATAGAATAGGATAATGGACTCTCTGTAACAGTTTGCCCCCGAAACAGTAAATAGTCTAGCGATTTGCTTTGTTGTGATTATCTTCTATGGTTTAGTTGATTTGGTGATATTTTAACATTCAGTTGTGTTATGGCACGAAAATAAGGAACTTGTGTGGATAAGGTTCTCTGTGCACCAGGACGGGGTGCAAGGTTCTATAGAATAGGATAATGGACTCTCTGTAACAGTTTGCCCCCGAAACAGTAAATAGTCTAGCGATTTGCTTTGTTGTGATTATCTTCTATGGTTTAGTTGATTTGGTGATATTTTAACATTCAGTTGTGTTATGGCACGGAAAATAAGGAACTTGTGTGGATAAGGTTCTCTGTGCACCAGGACGGGGTGCAAGGTTCTATAGAATAGGATAATGGACTCTCTGTAACAGTTTGCCCCCGAAACAGTAAATAGTCTAGCGATTTGCTTTGTTGTGATTATCTTCTATGGTTTAGTTGATTTGGTGATATTTTAACATTCAGTTGTGTTATGGCACGAAAATAAGGAACTTGTGTGGATAAGGTTCTCTGTGCACCAGGACGGGGTGCAAGGTTCTATAGAATAGGATAATGGACTCTCTGTAACAGTTTGCCCCCGAAACAGTAAATAGTCTAGCGATTTGCTTTGTTGTGATTATCTTCTATGGTTTAGTTGATTTGGTGATATTTTAACATTCAGTTGTGTTATGGCACGAAAATAAGGAACTTGTGTGGATAAGGTTCTCTGTGCACCAGGACGGGGTGCAAGTTCTATAGAATAGGATAATGGACTCTCTGTAACAGTTTGCCCCCGAAACAGTAAATAGTCTAGCGATTTGCTTTGTTGTGATTATCTTCTATGGTTTAGTTGATTTGGTGATATTTTAACATTCAGTTGTGTTATGGCACGAAAATAAGGAACTTGTGTGGATAAGGTTCTCTGTGCACCAGGACGGGGTGCAAGGTTCTATAGAATAGGATAATGGACTCTCTGTAACAGTTTGCCCCCGAAACAGTAAATAGTCTAGCGATTTGCTTTGTTGTGATTATCTTCTATGGTTTAGTTGATTGGTGATATTTTAACATTCAGTTGTGTTATGGCACGAAAATAAGGAACTTGTGTGGATAAGGTTCTCTGTGCACCAGGACGGGGTGCAAGGTTCTATAGAATAGGATAATGGACTCTCTGTAGGTTCTAATAGAATAGGAATAATGGACTCCTGTAACAGTTTGCCCCCGAAACAGTAAATAGTCTAGCGATTTGCTTTGTTGTGATTATCTTCTATGGTTAAGTTGATTTGGTGATATTTTAACATTCAGTTGTGTTATGGCACGAAAATAAGGAACTTGTGTGGATAAGGTTCTCTGTGCACCAGGACGGGGTGCAAGGTTCTATAGAATAGGATAATGACTCTCTGTAACAGTTTGCCCCCGAAACAGTAAATAGTCTAGCGATTTGCTATGTTGTGATTATCTTCTATGGTTTAGTTGATTGGTGATATTTTAACATTCAGTTGTGTTATGGCACGAAAATAAGGAACTTGTGTGGATAAGGTTCTCTGTGCACCAAGACGGGGTGCAAAGTTCTATAGATTAAGGTAATGGACTCTCTGTAACAGTTTGCCCCCGAAACAGTAAATAGTCTAGCGATTTGCTTTGTTGTGATTATCTTCTATGGTTTAGTTGATTTGGTGATATTTTAACATTCAGTTGTGTTATGGCACGAAAATAGGAACTTGTGTGGATAAGGTTCTCTGTGCACCAGGACGGGGTGCAAGGTTCTATAGAATAGGATAATGGACTCTCTGTAACAGTTTGCCCCCGAAACAGTAAATAGTCTAGCGATTTGCTTTGTTGTGATTATCTTCTATGGTTAGTTGATTTGGTGATATTTTAACATTCAGTTGTGTTATGGCACGAAAATAAGGAACTTGTGTGGATAAGGTTCTCTGTGCACCAGGACGGGGTGCAAGGTTCTATAGAATAGGATAATGGACTCTCTGTAACAGTTGCCCCCGAAACAGTAAATGTCAACGATTTGCTATGGTTTGATTATCTGATCTTCTATGGTTTAGTTGAATTGGTGATATTTTAACATTCAGTTGTGTTATGGCACGAAAATAAGGAACTTGTGTGGATAAGGTTCTCTGTGCACCAGGACGGGGTGCAAGGTTCTATAGAATAGGATAATGGACTCTCTGTACAGTTTGCCCCCGAAACAGTAAATAGTCTAGCGATTTGCTTTGTTGTGATTATCTTCTATGGTTTAGTTGATTTGGTGATATTTTAACATTCAGTTGTGTTATGGCACGAAAATAAGGAACTTGTGTGGATAGGTTCTCTGTGCACCAGGACGGGGTGCAAGGTTCTATAGAATAGGATAATGGACTCTCTGTAACAGTTTGCCCCCGAAACAGTAAATAGTCTAGCGATTGCTTTGTTGTGATTATCTTCTATGGTTTAGTTGATTTGGTGATATTTTAACATTCAGTTGTGTTATGGCAGGAAAATAAGGAACTTGTGTGGATAAGGTTCTCTGTGCACCAGGACGGGGTGCAAGGTTCTATAGAATAGGATAATGGACTCTCTGTAACAGTTTGCCCCCGAAACAGTAATTAGTCTAGCGATTTGCTTTGTTGTGATTATCTTCTATGGTTTAGTTGATTTGGTGATATTTTAACATTCAGTTGTGTTATGGCACGAAAATAAGGAACTTGTGTGGATAAGGTTTTCTGTGCACCAAGACGGGGTGCAAGGTTCTATAGAATAGGAAATGGACTCTCTGTAACAGTTTGCCCCCGAAACAGTAAATAGTCTAGCGATTTGCTTTGTTGTGATTATCTTCTATGGTTTAGTTGATTTGGTGATATTTAAACATTCAGTTGTGTTATGGCACGAAAATAAGGAACTTGTGTGGATAAGGTTCTCTGTGCACCAAGACGGGGTGCAAAGTTCTATAGAATAGGATAATGGACTCTCTGTAACAGTTTGCCCCGAAACAGTAAATAGTCTAGCGATTTGCTTTGTTGTGATTATCTTCTATGGTTTAGTTGATTTGGTGATATTTTAACATTCAGTTGGGTTATCCGTTAAACCCTAGTTATTTATTAAAATTTTATTTTTGATAGACGTCAGAGCAATAGCAGAACAACATCAATTCATTGGCGGATCATAAGGAGCTGGAGAATGAAGAAGTCCGTGACTTTTATGTAGTTTAATTCTCTTTCGATATATAATTTTCTATAAAAATAATAAGTTTCGGTATATATCACGTAGCCCTATCAATTTTAACTTGAACAAGTAAAATATGTACGGTGCTTGTAGTACTTCACCCAAATAACGATAGTATAATGAGCGAATAAGTTCAGTACCAGATTGGTTGTAACAACACGTTTTTTCCCGTATAAACTTGTTATTATTAATTATAACAATACGTCATATTAGCAAGTTTTTATGAATGTTAAATTAAGTGTTGTTTTTTGTCAAACAAGAATTTATCAAGGTTTTTTATTGTGTTATTTTGTTCATCATTTGCTCGTGATACCAGGTGTAAATTCATTTTTCATCAATTCAATTTTAATTGATGATGTTAAGCAACATCATCTGATATTTCCCGATGAATGGTCCTGAACAGTATTTTCAGCAATCCGAAGTATAGTAACCCAAGCATTTTTTTTAGCTCTTGTACTTCAGTCAACTGCCGTACGGTTTATTTTTGTTTACCCGGAACAGTGGTCGTTTTCTAAAGAGTATTTGCTCTTTAAAAGTTCTGCAAACCACTCTAAAACAATAGATCTTTAGCTGTCTTGGCATTGTTGACATCGCGGCATGGAATCATTCTATGATTCCTGAAGATATAGGCACACTTTGAAGCAACATATTGTGGAAGCATTTATCCAATCCGTATCAATTGTAGCAATAACTGTTTGGTTTCAGGAGTAAAACTTTAGAGTAATGTTCTACATCTCTGAAGATCTCTCGAACAGCATTTGGTTTTCCTTCAACAAATATGAAATCCATTGCTTTGCAATAACTCTTTAAGCACATCTGTTACTGCTCATCTTATCCTTGCCCTTTTGCAGTAGGCTCAGAGTCTTTCTCAATCTTTCTCACAGCCTGAAGAACTTGAGAAAGGGACTACTTTCAAAGGCTGCAGTTCCATAAAGGTACTTCAGCACCTATGAGACTAGGAGAGTCGAGCTTCGTTTTAAACAGTTTCTTCAGAACTTGATTTCAATCAAATGATAATTTGGAAGTTTCCGATGAAATGCCAACATCTTCAGCAGCTTGAAATACAGTCCTACAGGCATCTTTTTCCGGTATATTTCGTACTCCATTAAATTTACAATACATTGTTCTGAAGCTTGAAAACTAAATTAATTATTAACAGCCGAGAGATTTATTTCTTAAACTGTATGTGCAAAGGTTGAAACTGGCATTCGCCGAAAGGAACAAATCTATAATTATAAAAGAAGCGAACTATCGAGTTTAGTGTTCGAGCAGTAATCAGAATCCAGTCCTATCTAACTAAGCAAACAAACAAACAAAGTCTTTCTTTTTAGCTGGTCTGCTGAAAATAAAAAAGTCATGCCTTAGAGGCTCGTTGTTTTTAGATTGCCAATCCAACCTTAACACACAATACATTCTGCATACATAAATACATAATATACAATACTAAATGCATAATATACATACTAAATACTACAAATTAATTGCTAAAAACACTCTAAAATACCGATATTTTGAAATTTTAGTAATGATACCTGCTTTACTTATGCTCATAAAGGTATCGAAGGTCTATGATAGTAAACCGCTAGTTTAGGATCCAAATGATTTCCTTCAGCAAAACCAAATTTAAGTTTTAAAAAATCATATTCTCTTTTTCAAATTCACAAAAATAATTGGTATTAGGGGAACTTCATTACCGGCACAAAACGTGAGTCAGACAAAAGTTTTCTACTCATTTTCGACAGTTTTGGAGCAATGGAAAATCAGAGGTCTCCAATGTGCGTTTAAGCTTAATCAATGCATGTTTTTGTGACTAAAGACAAAAACTCCAAAAATGTTGAAAATAAATAAAAACACTTTTTATGTCTTTTTCGTATATTTTTTCTACTAACATAATCGAGTATGCCTGGATGGGAGGGAAGGTGCGGGGGGAGAGGTTACATAATAAAATATTAAAATGTATATGTGCCACCCATACAGCTTGGTTTTAACCATCAAAGATTCTAAAGATGGAGGAAATTTTGACGATACTATCCATACATAAAAATTGGTATTAAGTTACCTTGCTTGACCGATTCACAATATTTGGATCAATAAAAACCATGGCTGTAATCAATGGGCTGGTAGTAAAATTTTGATTGCCCGCTAAGTTTTAAAACCGATTTTTGACCTTAATTTCCTGGAGTACTTCCGAGGGAACATTTCGCAGCTGCCCCTCCAGCCCCCGGTGTAGGCACCCCTGTCTACTTACCGAAAAATGACATACCAACAGTTCGTTTTCTCTCCTGGACTGTTCAACTAGGCGAGAGGTTAATCACAGGTTGTCCCATCAGTGCCGCTTGCCTATTGGAAATATTGCCAATGGAGTCTTAACGTGAAAACGAACTCTATCTGTCTACACAGTAGCGGTTTTTTCATTTTTATGTAGATATATTCCAAAACTGCTAGATTGAACGACGATCGGGCTTTGCCAATAATCCAAAACATGTCGCCATTATAGTTTCTTGCACAATCTTGGTTTTCCAGAAAATTTGTAAACATAATGTGATATTTTCCTTAAACCTGAAAGATATCGTTATTAACGACCTGTGAATAAAAGTGTTATAAAAACGAAATGAAATGTATATCTTCAATACCATTATAACTAGTCTAGCTGGTTTGATTTGATCATATTGTTTGCAGTTGTGCCCTGTTGGGTCATATGCTGAAAATTGACTTTCGTTTTGCCGCTATTCCCTCACATATTGTAGTGTTAACTGATAGTAAGCTATATACAGCATTGGAAAACAGCTATGAGCTTCTTATTTACATTCTTATTTACATCCATTCAATTCTTTAGGTAACACTCTAAAGTAGCAGAACAGCAACTACTACCATTCTGTGATTATCTTACGTTGTAATTTCTGCCTTCGCGGTGAACTAAAATATACTGAACTCAATTGTAAAAATATAAGCACCTGTATCCCAAAAAACATACAATCTATTTCAAGCAAAAGGGTACATTATTTTTGGCTGGAGAGGCACTTTAAGCTTAATAGAGCTTTGAAGTTATATACAAAAAATATAAACATATTAACAAAAATATACAACCTTATTTGCAGACGCTGAAAAGCAGGATTGCCGATTGCATCAAACAAGGAGTGTCCACGGGATTTATGTACAAGTTAATTTTCTAGATCTTAAACAATCATAAATAGTGTCTAGTCCTCTATTTTTTAATAAAGAGCTTAAGATTTATTCTAATGGAAGTTGGCCTTTGAAAAATGCAAACATTTTATAAGATATTGGCTAAAAGCTTTTTCGTCTGACCCACTCAGACCATAAAAGAGGAGCATAAAACATCAAAACGAGGGTCCAAAATAACACAATGAAAAATATATACCCAGTTGTGGATCGAAATAGACCAATCAGAAAAACGCAATCACAAGACCGGTATAGCTATTTAATCAGTGTCGCATGCCTTAAGGAAAAATACCCATGGAGTCCAATAAGAAAAACAAAATCCTTTTGTCTACATAATAGCGGCTTTTTAGTTTGTATGGAGATCGATTCCAAAACTGCTAGGTGAAAAGACGACTAGGCCCTGCCAATTATCCGAAACAGATTATTGTCATTATAGAGTTTTGCGCAATCTGAAAGATGTTGACCGATGGCAGAATCACTTTTTTTAACGGTTTTTCTAGATCTAATGAAATTTACCGTTTAGAGCTCAAAATTTGAGAGCATTTATGTATCTAAGATATATCACAAAGCTTAGCATGTGACGTTATAGCTAATGAAAATGAATGTTTGCCGGTCTGTCACAAAATGCTCGATAAAATATAGCAAAACTGTACATGCTTTGGTTTGTAGAACGGGACAATTTTGAATTGCGACTGAAAAATGCCCTATTATTTCAAGGTTTCTTTGATATTAATAGCGATGTGACTTCCAAGAGTAACACTGCAAAGTTGAAAAGTTAAACTCATTTTACTATTAACGATGCAAAAAACTTTTCCACTTCATGGGAAAAGTTCTTTGCAACGCTGGCTAACCCCCCCGCAATTCCTTAAGTTAGAGCCCAGGTGGTGAAGGGATTCCTCGAAATCATTTGCAAACGGAGGCTCTTTAGCTAGAGCTGCCTGAACCTTTGGAATCCAGTAGCCTGAAATTCCGTAGGAAACAAACAGCTCTTGGCTAGTGTGTGCTGGAATGTCCACAGTTGTCTCCAAGAAAGTAAACGGCCCATCATAGGAAAAATGACAGTTACTGACATCTTCTTCCACCTTTCTAAACTCTGTGAAGAAAGTGTCCAAAGAATGAACAGTAACTGCCTGACCTAGAGCTCGCCTACCTCTTGTTGCTGACACGGAACAATCCAGAGAGCCAAAGTCAATCCTCCCAAAAACAGATCCAAAAGATTTGTCATTGCATTTGGGGCCAAGAAACACATCATGGCACTTCTCAGCGTCTGCATACAATAGCTTCTTCTTCCCTCTGCGCCTCATCTCCAACGTGTAGTCCTGCGATGAAACGACAGAGAGAGAATTAAAAAGTTTGTCCATATAGAGGCACAACTTTGTGCCTCTCGGGATCCTTCTTGGCTGAGGTTTCAGAAACAGCCCATCCCCAGCCCCCCTTATTGTACTCTCCCCCACACGTAGCATTCTCTCGTTAGCAAGGACCTCAGAGCAAATCCGAGGAGGAGTGACTATCACGCAGTCTGAACCAAATGGCCCTGCCTGACGCAATGCCACCCCCTTTTCCCCACTACCTTCCCTACATTTATTTGGAAGGATAGCTTCTAAAACCTCAGGTGGGTGTTGGAAGAGACCCAAACCATTTTGCTTGGCATGTTTGGCAGCTTCAATGTATACCCTAGGAAGTCCGAAAATGGGATACAGAAAAGCATAACCCCGCCTGATAAGCTCTTCCCCAAGGTCATGAATATCCCCGGCACCGCACCTCCGAAAGAGGATACGGACAATGAACCGCCCGTGAAAGTCCTTCGCTAGGTGCCCCACTGAATTTTGTTGAGGTACAACCATCAACTCATCGTGATACACCTGGCCAAGAACTCTCCTCATATACCGCAAGGAGTTATGCCCAACACAATCCCAACAGAGATCATGCTGACCACTTGCTCCTTCCGTATACTTGACAGACGTATCCATTTCGGGAGCATCCAGTCCCTCAAGTCGAAACCGCACAGATGGAGCGCTAAACACAGCAACAAAATCGTTTCTCTCGTACCTATCTATGGTTATGCCATCCGCATCTGGAAAGAAGCACACATCAAGTGGAACTTTTACCCACCGACCGTCTTCTACCAATGGGAAGTCATACAATAAATAGCTGGGGACATCCAAGAAGGACCCAATAGCTATGTTTTTGAGACAAGCAGGGAGGCAGTCCTCCACTGCTGTCGCAAAAAAACCTATAGGCAAAGTTACGTTAAAAAAGCGCAGCAAATCAGGGGTAGGTCCAAGTCCCTCCGCCAACCTAAGCATGCGCTGCAAAGAGCGAGTGCTCGTATTCGCATACCTAATGTTGATGAGGCGTGCACGTGAGTCTACCTGACAGCAATGATTGCCTCGAGAGTGAGGTCCCGGAACAGCCCGTAAGCACATGTTGCAGCCACAGGAACGCAACAATTGCTCGTACTCCTCTTGCCTCTTCTGAAACACCCTTTTGCCTAAGCGAAGTGCAACTTCATCTCTGGACGTTCCCAAACAGGAGGATGAGTGCACAAGAAACCTACCCACTTGCCAAAAGATCCTATTTCGGACAGCATGGGAATAGTTCAACGCAGCTATGAGCACGTCCAACTCGGCGTTGTTTTCTTCATCCCATGAGTGATTGGAGAGGTCAATCCCTTCCGGAATCAGGACGACATCCGCACACCCATAGTATGGTAGGTCCAATTGAAAAATATTGTCCTTAGAAGAAGGAGGAGGCAGTACATATGAACTGTTATTGCCAACAAATGTTCGCACGTGCTTGCAATCACCATCAGGAAATGCTGAATGCGTCAACAAATCCTCATACCTAGATTGGTTGCTGGAATGATGCCCAATGAAAGCTGAGCGCGCCCCCTTGCAGCCTGATTGCGTAGCAGGAAACGAAGCTTCAGATGAAGCACTTTGAATGGATCCCTCAATCTGCAGATTTGCAAGCAGTTGCTCTGATCCAACATCCTGACTGCTCTCATCAAGAGTAAAACTATTAATGAGGCCCTCAGTCTGTGTGACTTCGAGCTCCTCCTGCAAATCAACATCAAGAGAAATTTCACCCAAAGTAGCTACATCTTCAGCATTACTAGGACCCTCTATGGAAGTGGATGACTCACCTTGTTCATAGACGGCCCTATACTCACCTTGTGCAGCAGATGTTTCTGCACGCTTCTTCTTCCTTTCAGGACCTGGCAAAGAAACTAAAATAGAAGAAAAAACAAATCAAATACATTCAAAAAGCCAATTTATAAATAGAGCTTCAGCTATGGGCCCTCTTTAGATACAAATGAACAAGTATTTTGTAAAGTAGTTTTTAAATTGCTGGAAGCTGTATATTTAGCTTCAGAATGAGATACTTATTATAAACATTTTCTTTCGAGTAGACTGAAACATTGCCTCCATTATCTGAAGTGAAATTATTAATCGTACGAAAAGTTTATATACCATAGTGATCTTACCTCGGTTGAGTTAGAATTCTCTAGGCGAAAGAATAAGGGCTAGTTTCGCAGCAATAGTAAGTAGAATCCCATATACAAACACATTTTAACAGCATCATTTATTTGCGGATCATCATTCTTAAACGTTTTCAAGAAAATTTTCAAATGATCACTCGATTTAGAATTCTAATTTTATCAAACTCCATCAAGAGAAAAAAAACATATTTCGTTGCCTGTATTTAAACGGAGTGCTGTTTCCTTTGCTTATGCTAACTGCTGTGAACATTCAGGATAAAAGCTTAGTACAAAAACTATCATAACGGTTTCAGTATATCTAATTGCTTTCACAACAATTGCTCTATCCCCTGGGTCTTGGGGCCAGTTATAAATAGTTATGATTGATTATCCTACATTCTGTTAACGGAAATCTGCAATCTCTAACGCTCTATAAATGACTATTACTTGGAAAACAGAATGTACTTAATATAAGTTTCGATGTCTTTGAAACGCTCCCGAGTTGTTACAATACCATTGATGTGCATATTGCATGTAAAAAATTTAAATATTTGGTTACTCTTTCTGGAGATGTGAGTAATCTTAAACTCTTTAAAGTCTTATAAAAATGTTGGCTCTTACCATTGTATCGAATACGAGGTTCCTCTTGAAATCTGTAGGGGAAATCTATTGAAGAAAATAAAAAATTTAAGATTTACATTAAAAAGACACTTTGTCAAAACTACTCAAGAACATTTGACAGAACTGCTTGGAAAGTAAGCACTCGACGCAACAACTACTTCAAAGCTATTTGTTAAGAGAGCAATTGTATAATATGGAGCGAATCTCGTTATAACAGGGGCTAAGCAGCCTCAAATAAGGAAAGAGAGCCAAAAACTAGAGACTCACATCCAGTTGAGAAAAGTTAAGCATTATAGAAGGAAACAAATAATGCTGCTGTTTGTATTGCAACTGACAAGACAGTTATTTGAGTGAGAAAATGCAAAGAAAATAGACTATCGACATGTTTGCTAGCATGGATGAATGTCAATTTAAAAGTATGCAGTGGCAAAGCCAGAGAGCTTTGCAGTATAACGAGAAATACCTTCCAAAATGAGGAGAAATACTTTGCAAAATAAACTTTAAAGTAAATAGTTCAACGTTCATTCCTTGGTCTTAAGAGATTTTCTGAAACAGTGTGAAAACAAACTAATCACAAAATTTCTAATGAAAGAAGTTGAAAAACTTAGTTATCATGCCATATATTATCTGCCCTAAGATTGAATATTTGCAAGGATAGGTAATGAAGATGGAAGAGGGAGACTAGGGGTCATAGGGGTCCGAGGGTACGAGTGTCCGAATGGAAATGTCAAAATCGCAATTACTTTTGAAACTCTGTATTTAAAACTTCATCCATAAGGGTTTATGACTATAACTTATAAAGTGCATGCTGTGTAAGTTTGCTGTAACTGCGAACGCCTATGTCACTGCGCATATCTGTTACTGACTCACACGACATAAGTTAACAAGAATGCATTTAACAGCTCTTTTGTTTTATGCTGTGGGAAATTTTGTGTGTATGAAATTTGCTAAAACTGTTTCCTTTGATTGTATTCCCAATTCTAACTACAGTTTGTTTGTTTATTTCGATAGCCATAGGAAATAATCCGTGTGATAAATTTACTAAAACTGTTTCTTTTGATTGTATTCCCAATTCTAACTACAGTTTGTTTGTTTATTTTGATAGCCATAGGAAATAATCCGTGTATTAAATTTACTAAAACTGTTTCTTTTGATAGTATTCTCAATTCTAACTACAATTTGTTTGTTTATTTTGATAACCATAGCTATGTTGACTATTTGTTATATAAGAGTGTGTTCCAACTAACGTTTCAGAATTACTGTGAATTTGCTGAAGTGTAGTTGCAATTTTCGATTGATGAAATAAAAGCAGATGTTGATACAAAGTCTCCAACGTGGATATAAGAACCAGAAAGTATATTGTACAGTTCACGAATAAACGCGAACCAAATCATTAATTCAATCCTCGTCAGCTGAGGTGAGACAATAAAATTGGTTTATCTATTCATCAGGTGAGTTTATTTCCAGATTATCAAAAACTTCAATAGTTCCTACTGTTTATATTTTTTGCAATCAATTTCACCGGCAACGGCAACGCAATTCACCAGAATTCTTTTGAACAAATGCAAATCTTTAGAACTTGACAACAGATACATTTTAATATACACCTTGTATTTGATGTTTAAACTTGTTATGCATAAAATTCTATCTGGTTTCATCATCAGTTGTCTTGTTACCAGTTTCCTCTATGATATTAGAAACATTTAGCCAGAATTGCGCTTTAATGTAACTAGTTTGACTAGGGCTAGCTCCCGTTGAAACCAGATGACTTTTTTATCTGGTTACATCATGTAACCAGTTGTCTTCCAGCCTGTTTTGTCGATGTAACCAGATGCATGCAACCAGAATTGAGTTTTATGAAAGAGTGTCAATAATATTAAACGAGTTTCTATAAGGCTAGTTCCCGTTGAAAGCAGAGCGTTATAACCAGATGGTTTTTCTATTTGGTTACATCATGTAACCAATTGTCTTCCAGCCTGTTTTGTCAATGTAACCAGATGCATATAACCCGAATTGCGTTTTTATAAGAAAAGCTTCATTGGGGCTTGGTTCGGGTGTGACCAAATTTCTAAACTGAATTTCTCTAACCTGGTTTTCCATTTATTTTACGTAGTTTGATGCGCGTAGCGAGATTGCTTATATCTGGTTACATCTTAAACTTGTTTCACAAAATTAGGGTGAAACTATTGCCAGAGTTAGGTCAAAATTTTAGAATCTTCTTTTTGGCAGCGTCTCTCGTGATAAGGGACGAGGGGGGGGTGCCGCGTTCCATAAAGGGAAGGTCTGCTTGTAGTTTGCTGCATTCGCAGCCCGGGTGGGGGGGGGGTGGGTCCAGTCCATTTGGTTTTAATGTTTAAACTTGTTATGCATAAAATTCTATCTGGTTTCATCATGAAACCAGTTGTCTTGTAACCAGTTTCCTCTGTCATATTAGAAACATTTAGCCAGAATTGCGCTTTAATGTAACTAGTTTGACTAGGGCTAGCTCCCGTTGAAACCAGATTGTTTAAACAGATAATTTTTTTATCTGGTTACATCATGTAACCAGTTGTCTTCCAGCCTTTTTTGTCGATGTAACCAGATGCATGCAACCAGAATTGAGTTTTATGAAAGAGTGTCAATAATATAAAACGAGTTTCAATAAGGCTAGCTCTCGTTCAAACCAGATTGTTTAAATAGATATTTTTTTTATCTGGTTACATCATGTAACCAGTTGTCTTCCAGCCTTTTTTGTCGATGTAACCAAATGCATGCAATCAGAATTGAGTTTTATGAAAGAGTGTCAATAATATAAAACGAGTTTCAATAAGGCTAGCTCTCGTTCAAACCAGATTGTTTAAATAGATAATTTTTTTATCTGGTTACATCATGTAACCAGCTGTCTTCCAGTCTATTTTGTCGATGTAACCAGATGCATGCAACCAGATGCATGCAACCAGAATTGAGTTTTATGAAAGAGTGTCAATAATATAAAACGAGTTTCAATAAGGCTAGCTCTCGTTCAAACCAGATCGTTTAAATAGATAATTTTTTTATCTGGTTACATCATGTAACCAGTTGTCTTCCAGTCTGTTTTGTCGATGTAACCAGATGCATGCAACCAGAATTGAGTTTTATGAAAGAGTGTCAATAATTACCCTGGGTACCAGACTCACTATATAAAATAATAGAGAGTCTGGTCTAGTGCGCCCCATTCTGGTTCGGGTGAACTTACTTGAAAGAACTGAAGTCTATTTAACAGACTAGGCCTGTGAAACAAGACTGTCGGATAAATAACAAAGATACTCAGTAGTCGGAGGAGTTTTGGGAAATCTTAAAGCCAATGTATTTTATATAGTTCTGTAAAGTTGACATTATTAATACAGTGATAACAGACTTTTCTGCCTCAAGATTCCAATCAAATCAGGTGTAAAACGCCTTGGCAGCAAAAAGCATATGCGAAGCATGAAATGAGGAATAGACTGTGAGAATACATTAAATTATGTGGAAAATTATCAAAAGGTCTTCCTAATATTTTAAGTGTGCTTGATGCTAAATTTAACAATGTATTAACATTTTAATAACTG